CTTATACCAACAAATGATATGGAAAAATGAGTTGATATAAATTTTGATCTAAAATTGTTACTTTTATTAATTCATTTATTAGGCGCTGCTGCTGCTGCTGCTGCTGCTGCTGGTGGTATTGTTGTTGCCGAAAGGTTGAATATCATTACATTTTTTGATCTTCCTTTTTTGCTGTCAGTTGGAACAATTATGTCCGTTCTTAGATAATTGCTCTTCTTTATTTAAAGTCAAGAAAATCCCACTTCAATAATAAATTTACTGCGGCCTGCTTAAAAACTGACGGCAGAAGCTGAACGAAGAGAAAAATAACAAACATGGATGACAACCGATAAGCAATAAATAACACAAAATAACAAGACACAGACAAATCAAAATGAAAGAGAATGGAAGGAAGAAAAGAGAAGCAATTTTAATTATGTTACCGTTGATGTCAATATTCATGATCATAATGGAGACTGCAACGTTAACATTAATAACACTGTGTAACATACTTTTTGTCCTTGAGTAGTAACTATAATTTCCTATTTGCTTACGCATAAAAAGTATGGAAAATCGCTAATATTTCCTTTAAACTTTGTTTTTGTGATCAGGATAATGATATTTATGAAATTTACCTATTCCCATTGCGAAAACTGGCGAACATTCTTATTCATGTAATGTAGGAACAAAACGACATATAATTCAGAAGCAGGATATATTTATTCTAAGATTACGCAAGAGAGACCACAGAAAATTTAGAAGTGTAGTTTTTCGCGATTTACGCTTATACTGTAAATTACTTTCACGAGTCGGCACCTAAATATAGACTCCCACTATGTTTTCGTTATACGATCTTTGGTAGCGGCGTTCAAAGTCCAATATATCTTAGTGGAAGCCCTCGCCTTGTTCCTCCGAGTACGACTTCATGTTCTTGAATTTATCAAGATGAGCGTCAAGGATATAGAATTTGCGGGACATCCTACAGCTCATTTTGCAGTAGTTCTTCAATAGGATATAAATAAGCTCCACGTCGTTATCGGCCTTGGGATTCCCCAGGAAACCTCGAACCACTGCGACAAACCTGTTTCACTCTACTTTCTCCACCCTAATCAGATTCTTAAGGAATTCCTTTCACTCTATGGTGTTCTTTATTTGTGGTCCGACGAAAACACCGGCTTTGATTTTTGCCACAGACAGTTTAGAGAAAAAAATCTTGATGATACTTGAAGGCTGGAGACTCCTTATCTAGAGCTGTGACAAATTGTTTCATAAGATCCCATTTTAAATGCAGTGGAGAAAACGATACTTTTCGGTGTCTAAAAGTGACTCCCATTTGACGTTGTTCCTCCCAACACTGAATTCAATCCGCTGTGGCATGTCCCGCCTGTGGGAGTGTGCCGCGGTGTCCCTACTGTCCCAAAGGCAAATATAACACAAAAAATTAATAAAGCCGCCTTGGAGATCCATCAGGAAGGCTACCATTTTGAAGTTGCCGATAACCTCTCAACCGCACTTTTCATATTTCAAGGCATCTAGGAAGATCTTGACACTGTTGTATTCTTCTGCATCGAGTGAGCCAGGGGAAGAGATGAATACACGTTCCCGTTATAAGCAGCGCGTCTTTGAGGCTCCTGGATGAGCTATCGATGAAAAAGCACCAATCGCTGGGGGTACAGGCAATTCAAATTGCCTGGAACAGACCGCTTACATTGTGTCAGAAGCAAAGCCCATCTTAAAACTGGTACCAAATAATTTTGTTATTTTTATATCTTGCCTAACTTAGCGCTTCTTCCTTAGCTAATTTGTGTATTTATCTTTAAAAATATCAATCTTAAAAAATAACGGTCCGATCTTTTTATGACCTTTACTAATAAGTAGTTGTTTTGTTGATTGTTTTCATAATTAAATTGCTTGATTATTCAAATTTTTTATCATGAAAGTTACAATGACTTTATAATTTAGATCACGACTTGGAAGTAAAGGAAAGTAAGTAATCTTGACACTTTTAATAGAATATTTGGAAAACCAATATTATAATATGGTAATAGTGGGTATAATGGATAGCGGCTCGAATTGAGGAATCGGAGAGCCAAGTTCGAATTCCAGTCAAATCCATTACATTCACTTACGTGCTAATACCCTTGGGAAAGGTATGAATCCTCTTCTTCGCTCCCCAGCTATGGGTAAATAGCAGGACAGACCTGGTTCTATAGCCTTAGATGGCAAGTGGTTTACCGCAGAAAGAAATGGCAGCCTACTACGCGAAAAAAATCTGCCTTGTTAATCATGTATCGAAGGATACATGATCGACTAAGCGTATATCCCGCATGGCACATAACTGACTTATAAGGAAACATTCAGTATTCCTTGACCGAGCAGACAGTGCTACCGTCGGGTGAAATTTATAAAATCTTTCTCTTAAAACAATTTTTCAGGAAAGTAGTTTTCTCAAGTCCACTAACTTATCATTCTTTCTAGCATTGATGAGGTCTTCTTTCCTATGCCTTTTGTTTGAAACAGTATGGAACGTCAACATCTTAATTATGGTCATTATTTTCTCTTTATGTTACAAGCAATATTCATTTTAGTTGTTGTTGCTGAAAGTCTTCAAGTGATGTGATTTCTGTTATTTGGTACAGTTCTTATTTTTGATTCTGAAGCGTCAGCCCACTACGTTCGAAAAAAGGGATCGCCCCCGATGCTGTAACGAAATAAACAACTAGAAAAATGTTTAAAACAATTAAATGTTTTATGACAATTCCGTTACTAACATTTTATGGCATATCCAAACCTCCGAAGCAAAGAAAAAAATAAGTCCGGAGTACAGCGAATCAAAAAACGCAAAAGATATGACCCGTATAAAAAACATTGCTAATAGTAATATAACAAACATAGTGAAATAGACTAAATAGAATAGTCAACATATTTAGACAGAAGAAAATGCATTCAAATATTTCTGCTACAGAAAATGTAACTAAAATTATTAAGAATGTTACTATTATTACTAATAATAACAATAATCATAACATCAAGAGAGGACTGACCACATCATATCTGAGTGGAGCCAACAAAACTACTAATAAAGACATGTTAAGGCTTCTCAGAATATACATTGGCTAATAAGTTTCGCATTCAACTTTCCTCTCAAAGAGAATTGGTTGAAGAGAATTGTGTTACTGCGTGGATGTAAGACAGCACTAGTTGTACAGAATGATTAGGTTCCTGTCCTCCGGAATTTCACAGTTTAGACTGATAGGGAAATCCAGACAAATCGACCAGACATAAATGTGAAAAACTATGTTAAAAACACACGTCGTTTATTAGATATTGCAACCCCAATCGACAAAAACGAATCTTTGAAAACGTTTGAGAGAGCAAGCAAAATAAGGACCTTGAGATAGAAATCAGTAGAATGTGGCATTTCATGACAACAACATTAACTGCTAATAATGGGGCTTTGAGAATTACATCAAAGGGAACAAACAAATATGGGGAACAAATTCCTGGTAACACTAAAATATGTGAATTGCAAAAAGAAAAAAACACTTGTGGTTACTTTTTACATCAATCGTATGTTGACCACATTACATATTTTTCTCTCTCTAATAGCATGGCACCTTATCTGTTTGCCTCGTTCTGTTGCAAAAACAATTGTTATTTCTTGAAAATTCTGGTTGAGAAATGGGGGCAATTCGTATTAAACAATGCAAATACAAAACATAATAATAAATGCCTTTATGCTATCCCAGACTCTCATGGCTTCTGATCCTAATTCACTGAAGGTTTTAATATCTATATATATGTTTTGCCTTGAATTAAGATGAGGTACAGTAAATATCCAGTTCAGAACCACAGATTTGCTTGTCAGTTGCTTGATTTTAACATGTTGCACATTCATAATCATCTGAGCGTTGAATGTTTTTACGAGAATAAATTATGAAGATATCTTTGGTATCCCTGGAAAGCTTATTTTATGTAGATCATCATAGCAAAATCATCATTTCGCAGCGTGTGGTTCTTTTTAATTTATACTAGATTTCTGTCAATTGGCCAGCGATTATGAACAAACTATCATTTCTCTGTGTTAATTCGTGGATGTAAATCGTCTTGCGTGTGTGTTGCAGAAACTCACCAATTGGATATACAAAATAAACATTCTATTTAATTCAATTTGGGTTCACAGATTCCTTCTAGATTGTTCATATCGCTCGTTGTTGTTAATTTTTATCCTTGCATATTTTTATTTTTTAGTGATAATTTTTTAAGCGCAGTACAGTATTAGCAGTTGGGTCTGCAGTTGAAGATTCGTCTCCAGCTGTGCTGGTCAAACTCTCTGCCTCCGGGCAGAGAGGTTCCCCAGACGAGGCTATGTCGAAGGGCAGAATCTCGTCTAGGGAAACAGCTACTCGATCCTGTTTTATACGGTGTCTACGGGGAATTTTTGGCTGAATCTAAGAGCTTAGATAGTCCACATTAAATTCGGCCTTGTGCCACATCTGACGCGTGGTGTGGTTGGTAGATATCATGCAGTTGAAGATTCGTCTCCAGCTGGTCAAACTCTCTGCCTCCGGGCAGAGAGGTTCCCTAAACGAGGCTATGTCGAAGGGCAGAGTCTCATCTCGGAAAACAGCTACCCGATCCCGTTTAATACGGTGTCTACGGGGAATTTTTGGACGAGCCTACGGGCTCGGATACCCATTAAATTCGGCCTTGTGCCTCATCTGACCTAGTTGGAGATTCATTGTGGGATTCACTTGACCCACTTTTAGCAGTTGACTACTTCTACGCGCAAATCTTGTATGTGTTGTTCGCGTCCTAAGTATTATCATTCCTTACCAACCTTCGTGTGATTATTCTATTTAGTAACCTTCCCTAGGTTACAACAAAAAGATATCAAAAGACGTTTCTCTCAAGGTGGGGATTGCACTATCCGAAAATACTATTTTATGGCTGATAAGGGATTAAGCTTCAAGAGAATGTAACTGTTCTTGCGCTAAAGCTATACAGGAACGAGTTTGGTA